CAACTGTCTCACTTATCCAGAGAGCCTGATCCAGTTGGGGGCTCCTCAGCTATTGGTTCATAGTTCATGTGTTTCCATTCATTTGGCTATTTGTCCCTGTGCTTTTTCCAATCTTGGTCTTAACAATTCTCACTCATATAAACCCTCCTCTTTCTCGCCAATTGGACTCCTGGAGCTCCACCTGGGGCCTGGCTGTGGATCTCTGCATCCAGTTCCCGCAGTCATTGGATGAGGTTTCTAGCACGACAATTAGGATGTTTGGCCATCCTATCACCAGAGTAGGTCAGTTCGGGCTATCTCTCAACCATTGCCAGTAGTCTATTGTGGAGGCATGAACAATAAAAGTGAGACCATGATAAATGAAGACCCCATGGGAATAGGAAGAGGCAAAGTGCTAGAGAGGTCCACAGAAATCCACAAAGATACTTCCACAATGGACCTGACTTTTGCTCCACTCAGCTCACAAATGCCTGCAACTCTGGCTTCATGGGAATCCAACACCTCTGACCTCCGCCAGCATCTCCATTCATGTGCATACACACATACACAGATAAAAATAAAACTAATAAATATTTGAAAAGAAGAACTAGCTAAATTCTGCCAGAAGATATAAAACTTCCAGTAGAAGTAATATTAAAAATGGAAACATTTTGGAATAATTTAAATTTCCACTTACCAAAGCATGAGTAGATTGTCATATCATTCTAGCAGCTTAAATCTACACAAAATGAAATCAAATTAATTAATTGTTTTTATAATACATGAATATATGCCACAAAAATGAGCAAAGAGGAAGAGGAGGAGGAATATATATATATATATATATATATATATATATATATGTGTGTGTGTGTGTGTGTATGTATATATTTATCTCTTTTCTATATTTGCTAGTGACACTTATGTATGATATAGAAATGTAACCATTCATGAGAATGGTAAACTAAATTTAAGAGTAAATATAACTCCAATTGAATTAAAACTATCCTTTTTATTAAGCTTCTCTTAAGTACATAAATATTCATTACACTATTACTTTCAATTTTATAATTTGTACGTAATACATAATAAAAGGGTGAAAAGTAGAGCCTAGAGTGTTCAGTATAGGACTGCAGCCCTGAGCTATTCCCAGCTAACACACTACCTACCAATGCTTCCATTGACCAAATGGCATGGCATTAGGCCAGCATTTCATTATTGTATTTGTTGTGTTTTGAAAGTGTCCTAAAAGTAATATTAAACCAATGCATTGAATCATACGTTTTAGTTTTATATAAAAAATACTTACCAAAGGAAATAAAAATGTGGGCATCCTCCCAATTTTAAATACACAGAGTAACCAAATTTTGCTTCAAGTAATTATTTGGCTAAACTGAAATTCAAATCCTCACAGATTAACAAATAATAATGTTCACATCCCTAGTAATTGCCCCATTTTAACTATGCTCTTGCTCTTTCAAAACTAAACAATGAAAATATTTACAGAAATATTCTAATTTAAATGATTTAGATAGTATTCTGGAGGAATTGAGCTCTGAAAAGTATATTTATTAATACCAATTATTATGAGTCTGATAATTTCTAACAGTGAAAACACTATCTTCCAGCTTTAGTGGTTTTGTCTTTAAGTATTTCTTTGGCAGCTACACACTTCAGTTGTTTATTTCATGTTTTAAATAAACATGGCAGAGCTCCTGCTCAGCACTCATTATTGAACTCACTGGCATGTTTGTTTTTCTTCTTCAATAGATTCTGACTTAAGCCAAGAAGCTCTAGAATACAATGATCATAGGTTTTTAATCTATTTGTATTTACCCAGAATTTCCTAGAGAATTCCTTAATAACTGCATTAAGGAATAAAATAGAGTAACACCCACATGGAAGTCTTCCTAATGTCTTTATAATGGATTCGCATCAAATTGGGCCTTATATGTTTCGTTTTATAAGCTCTTATTTTCTCACTATGCACACCTAGTACTCTTTCTCAACATTTGTGAGAAATTATCACTAGACAGATAATTAATATTATTACTTTGTAACACTATAATTATTTATTTTTAAATTTCATTGAAGATTATCTTGAGTTAACAAAGTATGTTACATCATTTGATCATCACAAGTCTATCATTGCAGCCATTCATTTATTTAGGAAACAAAGAGTACCATTGCTTTGTGCTTTGCTATTGAAGTCTCAAGTCCCATCTGATGCTACAAGAAGCACATGGCAGGAAAAATCAGTGAAGAATAATGACATTCCTAGAGGAAGATGGATGGGGGAGATTAGACACAAGAAACTGTATTCACTCTTAAAGAGTTTATTTTCTTTGTTTATTTGAATTTTCCATAAATTTTGAGTACTAAGAAAGCCTTAATTCTCAAATTATCTAAACAAAATTTCCTATCAACCCTTATTTTCCTAGTGATTTCTAGTCAAAACTCACAGCTCTGGAAAAATAGAATTGTCTTACTACTTTGATATTTAAGGATTAGAGAACATTCAATTTAGAATAGTATTTTTAGCTTCAGATAATCTATCCTTGTGTCAAATAACTAATCCATTTTTCTTTTCAAATCAGAACTTTTAGGAATAACATTGTAAGTTGATTTTCAACTGGTTAGCATTTTCTCTCCTTAACAGAAGTCTCAGAGTAAATGGAACATAACGTTTAAGCAATTACTAATGAATCCCAACTTCAGTTACGATCATTGCAAAGTTCAGCTTAAAATTTTATTGTTTTATAAGCCTGGTCAAAGAACTACATCACAATGCTGGGCTTTGATCAGATTTCTATGAAAATGTTAAAAAATAATTTATCTCTCATAAAGTATTTCAGAGAAATTCCACATGATGGATGATATATCACACAGAGATCTATAGACTGACAAGTTCTGGCTTGATTCTAGTAAATTGAAGCTAGAAATAAAAGCAGAATGATTGATACTTTTGTCTGGAAATCATATCAGTCATAGCCATTATAAAACAAGCCTTTCCCTATGATAACTTCAGAAGTCTTGAAGAATGAGTTTAAGTCTGTTTGGAGAATTTCAAACCATTTAATCAGTCCTTCTCATCTTCTGCATGACTTCAGACTGGATGATGGTGATGACGACAATAATGATGATTCTGCGACACTGTCTCAGTACATATCCCTGCTTGGTCCATAACTCAACAGGCTAGCCTAGAACCCACACAGATCTGCCTGCCTCTACCTCCAGAAAGAAGTTCTGGAATTAAAGATTTGTGGCCACAATACCTAGCTAGCTTCTGCATCTCTTAAGAGTTAAACACAGAATTGGCAAAGTGTGAGCATGAAGAAAGGCAACACAAGTCTGCTTTTATTATATACCACAGCATTATAAGTTCAACAAAAAGTCATACATATTATTAGTCACCTAGAAGCTGCAGAACCATAGAACTGTACATCCATTTTTACTTCCTTCCTGGTATCCAGGAGCGTGTCTACAAAGCTGCTAAATTTTAAGAAAGGAAATATTTGATACATCATGCCCATTAATTTGAGAATGAATATGAACTACTTGGGAATTTCCTAAACATGAATTAAACATGGTACACTCTACCATATTAAACATGCTACACTCTATCATATTAAGGTAGAAAGGCAAATCCCAGACTTCATAAACACAAATTTCAGACTCAAAGCCTTTTAACTTTCTTGGAAAGGAAAAGAAAGTTTGTTAGCTATTAAACCATTTAGCATCCAGTACATAAAGGGTAATTGCTGACTGACGCCTCTCCTGATTTGTGACTTACATATTTGCATACTTATTACATATTTACATATGCTAAGTCATTCCTATTCAAGTAAGCTCTTGATATGTATATATTTGCTCTTTGGATATTAATGTTTCTTCTTTTACTCGGTTTGCAGTCTTAGCTACATTTTTACAGTTTTGTTCTTGGACATTTCAGACTTTAAATGTTCATTATAATCTCTGCAGTTGCAACTGTATTTTAATAAACAATCTAATTCTATATTTGTGAGGGATTTTACTAGAAAAATACCTACATATAAACCTTCACATTTTCAAAACAGTTTCTCAGAGTCTATCTTTCTGTGCATACTCATCTTTCTCTTTCCAGTGTTATGATTCATCACACATGGCAGCTTCTTTGTTTTGGTATGCTGAAATGATTGAGTGGGAACTGTGCCCAGGTCAATCCATCTCCAAACACATGGCCTGTATTGTAAACGTCTGCCCAACTAGGTTTTCTTTGATGCTTTAGTGATTACTCTCTTCTTTGGTCTTAAGAATTCAAAACTATGAAATTCAAAGCTCAGATCTGAACACAATAGTAAAACTATTGCAATTTGCAGTGTATCCTTGACTGTTATCCAGAATTGGCTGCTTTGAGAATTGCATTCTGTATTTCATTACTTCAGATATGTAATCAGAATCTATGAGTGGATCTTTTGTGTACTGTGTTCATTCTGATTAATTGGAATTTCTATTATCTGTGTTCACTTGGGATCTATTATTTTTTTGCAAAAAGAGAAACAGTTTAAAACAAACTCCTAGAAGTCTCTATTTTCAGTATTAAGTCATTTCTTTATGGAAAAGGTAATATTGTCACCCTTCACCAGTAACAGGCTGTAGTACAGGCTATGGCAGCACAGCACTAGTAGGTGCAAGTATTGTCTTCATCTTGTAAACGGCGTTTTTCCTATAGAATTTGTGAATGGTATATGTTTTGAGTTTTGAAAAGGAGCTAGAACATATAACAGGCTTGGTATAAAAGCCAAATGAAAGGGGGGGATAAATGACTGAAGAAAATGTTTAAGGTGACAACATTTAATGGTTGTTTTTCATTTTATAATATCCTTTCTCTTAGAGTCTCTTAATACTTTCTCTTAGTTTCCTTAATACAGGCTAATTTAAGACAAGCATTTCTAGATGGCGCTCTGAAGCACTTGCCAGAAGGTGGCGCCATAAGCAAGCCCTTATTGCATAGAGCTGTCCCAGGTGCTGAACCCAATTTCAGAGAGCCGCACAAGCAGCTAGAGACAAGGGTCTCCGTGAAGAAGTTCTCCGGAGATTTGCAGATTTTGAGGGAGACAAAATTCCCAAGTCCTTAGGAAATGCAGGTCCTTGTTTACTAGACAAACATTTCTTTTCCCAAATTTACTTGCTACGAAGCTATGGGAGGTGGTAATGCCATCGAAATGAACAGAGTAAGGGTGACTGAAGTGTGTGTGTTGAGTGTGTGTGTGTGTGTGTGTGTGTGTTTAAAGTACACACCTACTTGAATTTTTTTTATCTTTTCTTTGAGATCCAACTGTTTATCAGCTCTTGTCCTTTAATGTGTCCTTTATAATTTTTTTTCTTTCCCCAATCCACAAGGATAATACGAAAAGGTCATAGACACCAGTGCTCCAAGACAGACTAAAATGTTAAACGAGCCCGCATTTTTAAGAACCTAAGACCCGCACTCTCTACATAATAATTTAGAGGGTGACCCAGGGCTGCTCGGCTTTCCAACCTTCAGGCTTCCCGTGTCTGTTCCCATTTCCTATAAGCACACCGTGAACATGGCTCTATTTAAGAAGTTGGCAGAAATAAAGCGGATGTGCATTGGGGAAAGATTTTTTTTAAAGTCTCCCTCTAGTTTGCTGTGTAGGAGGCGGAGTTTAATCGGTTAAAACATTGGTCTGACTAGCGGATCGGAGTGGATATACGAAGTGAGTTGTGAGAATGTAAAGATGCCTGTCTAAAAGGATAGGAGGGCGGGGACCTAGAGGAAGGAGGCACTCTGGGCTGGGGAAGTGTTGGGTGGTGGTGGGGGTTAGCGTGGGAGGAAGGGAGACTCGCTGTCTGAGCCAAACATAGAGGAATAAAGAAAGAGAGGTGAGAAAGGAAAGGGGAAAGGAGGGGAAAGGAAGAAGGAGGCTGAAAAAAAGAAAAAGCCGAGACTGGCCAAGTCCAGAGAGAGAGGGAGAGAAGGAACTAGGAGATGAGGGTCACACAGTGACCTGGGAGCTTGGGGTTTCTGGAATGCGAGACTTCTGAGATTCAAGACTGATTGCTAGTCGGCAGAGTCCGGCTCCCGCAGCTAGCTGGGACGCGACCAAGTGAAATGGGCAGCGTGAGACAGATGTTCCAGCCACCTCTCCATCACTCAGAGATTTGGAAGCTGCTCCCAGGCCAACTACAATTTCCTAGCTGGAGCCTCTGAGTGCTCGGGACCCGCGGGAGCCAAGCAAGAGAGCGCGCCTGGAAGCTGCTCCTCTCAGATGCCTTCTCCAGAGCAGTAAGAACTTCCCGCTCCAGTCCCTGGATCCCCTCCCTCTGAAATTCCCCAGCAAAGAAGGAAGACCCTAGGGGGAGGGGCGAGGGAGATCCCCTTGCTGCTCTTTCCCCCTCCCTTCCCCCACCCCACCGGGCGCGCAGGCAGGCATGGATATGTTCAGTCTTGGCCAGGGCAACAACACCACATCGTTCCAGGAGCCCTTCGGGACAGGCGGCAACGTTACTGGCATCTCCGACGTGACCTTCAGCTACCAAGTGATCACCTCTTTGCTTCTGGGCACGCTCATTTTCTGCGCGGTGCTCGGCAATGCCTGCGTGGTGGCTGCCATCGCCCTGGAGCGCTCCCTCCAGAATGTGGCCAACTATCTCATCGGCTCCTTGGCGGTCACCGACCTCATGGTGTCAGTGCTGGTGCTGCCCATGGCTGCTCTGTACCAGGTGCTCAACAAGTGGACTCTGGGGCAGGTCACCTGCGACCTGTTTATCGCCCTGGATGTGCTGTGCTGCACCTCGTCCATCCTGCACCTGTGCGCCATCGCGCTAGACAGGTACTGGGCGATCACCGACCCTATAGACTACGTGAACAAGAGGACGCCCCGGCGCGCCGCTGCGCTGATCTCGCTCACTTGGCTCATTGGCTTTCTCATCTCCATCCCGCCCATGCTGGGCTGGCGCACCCCGGAAGACCGCTCGGACCCCGACGCGTGCACCATCAGCAAGGACCATGGCTACACCATCTACTCCACTTTCGGCGCTTTCTATATCCCTCTGCTGCTCATGCTGGTTCTCTATGGGCGCATCTTCCGAGCCGCGCGCTTCCGAATCCGCAAAACTGTTAAGAAGGTGGAAAAGAAGGGAGCGGGCACCAGCCTCGGCACGTCGTCGGCCCCGCCCCCCAAGAAGAGCCTGAACGGACAGCCAGGTAGTGGGTACTGGAGGCGCAGCGCTGAGAACAGGGCTGTGGGGGCTTCGTGCGCTAATGGCGCGGTGAGGCAGGGTGACGAGGATGCCACCCTGGAGGTGATCGAGGTGCACCGGGTGGGTAACTCCAAAGAGCACCTGCCACTGCCCAGTGAGTCGGGGGCTACCTCCTATGCCTCCGCCTGCTTGGAGAGAAAAAACGAGCGGAATGCTGAGGCAAAGCGCAAGATGGCCCTGGCCCGTGAGAGGAAGACAGTGAAGACGCTGGGCATCATCATGGGCACTTTCATCCTCTGCTGGCTGCCCTTTTTCATTGTGGCTCTGGTCTTGCCTTTCTGTGAGAGCAGTTGCCACATGCCTGCGTTGTTGGGTGCCATAATCAACTGGCTGGGCTACTCCAATTCCTTGCTCAACCCAGTTATTTATGCTTATTTCAACAAGGACTTTCAAAACGCGTTTAAGAAGATCATCAAATGCAAGTTCTGCCGCCGATGATGATGATGACGACGACGATGATGATGGTGTTGGTGGAGAAGGAGGAAGAGGGGCAGGACTGTAGGCATTACAGGACCCTCCCCATCCACTCAGCATCCCAGCCCTGGAAGCAACACCTAAGATAACTTGCTTTTCCTGTGACATGCAGCTTCACGGCCCATGCTTTCAGATCTTGCTCTCTCTATCCCATTTCAAGGGGACAGTACACTTAGCAGAAACCCTAGAAACCGCCTAGAGTCTGTGGGAAAAGTTATTGGCTCGGTCTTTGGCCCTAGGATCGGTTTTAATAGTTGCAATAACCTCTTCTTTTCGAAATTGAACCTCAGTGGTTCAAGGCAGAACATCTAAACAGCAAATATAAACTGCACTGCACAGACATCTCCCACAAGAACTGCTACCCCTCTGCCCTGCTTCTGGAACTTTGAAGTTCAAGACTTTGCGTTGTCTGCCCCTACTCCTTGCTTTAGAAACATCTACTCCCCTCCGGGTGTCCACCCTCTTGGTTGAGTCTGGTTCCTATGCACTCACTGCTTCTCTGAAAAAGCAGTTGGGACTACTTTGGCCTATGGTGCCCGGGGAATGCCTGCCTTGCTGCGTAGCAAATACCCCCCTCCCCGCCCTCGTGCATAGAGCCCACTTTCTGCGTTTTCTTGAACTCAAAATCAAGTGGCAAAGGTGTCTGTTGGAGTCGACTTTTAAGCACAAGGTCTGGCCAGTGGGGAAGAGCCAGGAAGGCTTCTGGATGGTTTCTCTTTTTGGTGTCAGCCGCTCACCAAAGAAACTGACCGTCAGACTATTTGGAAGGCTGACTTTTATTTGTATACTTTGCTGGCGTTTCTGTAAGTTCTGGCAGGGCCACATGTCTACTGCAGGAGGCGCCCACTGCTGCCTAGGGAGGGCGAACTGGGGACGCTGAGATGCCATCCTGCCAGGGATGGCGCGCCCCACTTTCCCCTTGGTTTCTGACGGGGAGCTCTGTTAGAGCGCTCCGGGTTTGCAGCATCCAGGTTCCTCTGCCTCACCTCGCCTACAGAGTCCAGGAGCTGGTAGAGAAGTTAGAGTTCTTTCAAGAGGGAGGAGGTCTTGCACCAATAGCCAGAGACATAGAAACCTCTCAAGAGCGTGGGTGTGGGGCACATAAAGACAGGCAGAGAGCAAAAAGGCTCCTAAGTGCTTCCAACTCCCGCAGCCGCGTGTCCTGAGAAACCCGAAAAGGCAATTTTAACCATAGGATGCAATTTTTTTTTTCAATCCATCCCTTGCCCCTTTCGATGGCAGAATAGCTTTGTTTAGCGTATCCCAATAATGCCTAGATTCATTCTCCCAGACATCCCGGGGCGCGCACAAAATTATCAGAATCCTGGGCTCACATTTGAAGGGCGTCGACATCTCGCGATTGCCTAGTAGTTTGATCTCAGAAATGATACCTAAAGAAGTGGAGACCTCAGAGGAGGACCGGTTAGAGGGCGCTCCTCGTGGAGTCTCAGAATCTAGAGGATTAATTTTTCCCTGGCTCTTCTACTCCAGAGTTCTGCGGGGGGAAAACTGGTTTTGTGTCCTTTCAATGTGCAAAGCGTTTTTTTTGCTTAGGCATTCTCTCCCTGCCGTTATTTTTGCTGCCCCTTACCCCAAAGGAAAATTATTTTGGTGCTTAGTTTGAATGTACATTCCCAGCTAAGTGAGCGGGAATCTAGAGGTTTGTGTTACAACGTCTGAACTTCGAATTTTCTGTTGAGTAATGGTTTCATTTTCCAGTAATTACAGAGTTTTCTCACTATCCACCCCCCCCTTTCAGTTGTATCTTTCTGATGTCTGCACCTGCTGTTTTGAAAACCCTGTTGCATGTTTTCATTGCCAAAGATGTCAGTGAGATGTCCCCCTTGTGTTTATAAATAGGGTGAAAGGACAGAGGGGTCACATGAAGCCGTGGTTTTGTTGGTCAAACTGAACGAAGCTTCTATTTGGTGTCTTTTGCTCTGTTCTAAAATCGGAGTGAGTATCCCATTGTAAAAGAGCCATTTCAGACCTTAAGCCTGCTGGATTCTGCATGTGAGAGGCTCATGGGGGGCTCTGTGAAGACAAGTCACAAGGGGCTTCTCTAGCACAAAACAGTGCTTGTTTGCAAATTAAAACTTTTTTTTTGCTCACCAAAATTGAGTAGAACTATATGACTAAACAATTTTTTCCTGTATAGTTCACTATTTGTAGAACAGATTCTTTATTTGAAGCAAATTAACCCCCAAATTTCAGATGTTATAGCAGAAACCAAGACTTTTAACTTCTAGTTATTTGTATTTTTTTTTATTTTTTCCCCATAGGAATGTTTAGCTATGATGGGGTGGGGCGGCATTGGCTCCTGCTATTTTGAGGAAGAGACTTTAAACAAGACTGGAAAGGGGGCACCCACTTGGAATATAATTTCCAATTAATAGAGAAATAAGTGCAGCATGCTGCACAGCTTTAAAGAACCACAGATGCTTGTTTTATTTTAGAATACTTGTACTAAGGTAAAATATTCATGCGTACAAACTGGCCCTCAATTTTCCTTGTGACAATAAAGGACTTTAAGAATGGCAATGCTGTAATAAAGACCAGTGACCCATGTGTCTTTATTTATTCAGAGTCTCCAATTGTGCTAGTTGTAGTAATACAAAATAAAGGTGAAAAATAGGGGTGATCTCACGATTCAGGTTAGGGAACTGTTTTTTGTTTTTTGACAGGGTCTAACTAAGTAGCTCTTGCTGGCCTGGAACTGGGTCCTGAGGATTAAAGACATGGGCCAAGATGCCCTGCTCTGGTAAGAAATCTAATACTTAGAGAAATACTAAGACTTAAACCATCACTCTTAGACAAGTGATTTCTCTTCTCACCCTGTCTCCCTTCTTTCTTTTAAAAATTTCATTCTATAAATAATATTTTATTTAATGCATGAAACCATGCGTTTTCCTTGACCAGCACCTGCAGCAGCCAGAGTGAGGGGAATGAGTAGGAGGAAATCACTGCCTTTTCAAGTGGAAAGCCTGATCTAGGCTTTTTTTTGTGTCCTTTATAATACCCAGCTAGAGAACAATGACCACTGGTTTCCAGTGGGGTGGCTCATTGTTATGGGGTTGTTGCCTAAAACAAAAATGAAGGGGCATTTTATTTTCTTACTGGGTCTCATTTGATAGTGGGGTTCCAGGAGCAAGCCTTACCACTGAGTGAAAAAATAATGCATATGCTCTTTTCTCCCTGTTGGAATCATCATGACACCTTTTTCCGGTGTCATGATGGTGGCTGCAGTTAAACCTCAGTTAACCTCAAGTGTAAACAAAAGTCAGGGCCACTATGACCCCAGCAAAAAAATAAAATAAACCCTCAGCATTTTCATGCAGCCTGACTTGGGATGGATATATGTAGATATTAAAGTTGGAGAACTTGAGACATGAGAACTTCTTGGAGTTCCTTACTTGAAAATTTTTATATAAATATATCACTGACCTGGTGTAAAGTGCCAAATTCTGCACATCTGTCTTTGGACCGTGGAAGAACCCCCTCCTCACCTTGTTCTCTCCTCTGCTTTTGCTTCTGCCTCAGAGACAGCAGCTTTCTGTGTCTGTGGGCCTTCCATTTTCCAGAAAAATCTGCATGGGTCAGTTCTACAGCTCAGAGAGGGCATTGTTTCCAGTGACTTCCAGAGTGATGAGAAAGACTCAGAGAACCGCTGGTCGTGCTCCCACGTCAGCCCCTGTTGGATGATACAGGATCAGAAAACAGTCTGAGCTATTGTTGCAATGAAGACAATTTCAACCTGGTTGGGTATGCACAAATAAGCTGCTATGACTGAGTTCCACTCAGGAGGGATGAAAGTGCTCTCGAAACAAGGCCAACCACAGGAGTGCTGGCCTTGTTCAGAGACAAAGGTCACTGTGGGATGGGCGACTGAGAAGAGTGAGTAGGAAAATCTTTCCAAGATGGAGTTCTGGCAGGTGGGAGTTGGGGTGAACAGGTAGGTGTCCTTTAAGAGGTAACAGAACAATTTGATCCCTGTTTCCTAGTGAACAGGGCCCTGGGAGGACATTTTTCAATGGGTTGTTTGACCTTGATTAGCTACCAGGGTGGCTTTTGCAGGTGACGAACTTCAACAAGGAGGCAGAAAAACTTGTCATGTTTTACAATCTGAAGGGCACATGAACAGAGATGGAGGCTGATTAGATAAGATGGAGATGTTTTAAACAGAGAAAGGGCAGAAAAGGTGACCACAAGGTCGGACAAACATTTCACACTTATGAAATGATTTTAATTATATAATTTAGTTAATTAATGAATTAAATTTTGTCAAGTGTTTTTTCCCCCCACATATAATATGACATTTAAATCCTCTTTAGAACTGCCAAAGAGGTCATTTAAGAACTAGAACAGTATATTTTGGTTTATAGTTCTAGAAGGGTAAGAGTCCATCTTGGAAGGAATAATAGCTGTAAGCAGTGGCCATGGTGACAGGAACAGGAAGCTGAGGAATCATATCTCTGACAAAAATCACAAAGCAGAGATAGTACAGTGGTAGTGGGCTAAAGTGAAATACTCTCAAAGCCCATCCCTAGTGATGTTTCCTCCAGCCTGATTCCAACCTCTCAACCAGTGCCACCCACTGGGAGACAAGTGTTCAGATACCCGAGTCAGTTTGAGACATTTTTCCTTCAAACCCCAAGTCCACTGGGGACACTTCTCATTCAAACCATCAGAAGCAGTTTTACATCGTAGTGGTGTATAAATACAGAGAACAGTGCTAAAGAGCACAGGCACTAAATACTAGGTCCAAAGGCAGAGCTCTGGCTAGTGGGGCTGCTAATAATGAAAAGAGTGTCACCTTTGGAGATGATCTCAGCTGTGCAGGTGGGAAGTAACAATGACCTGCAGGAAAGGCTGGACAGAGGATTGGAAAACAAGTACAGCCATTCATTAAAAAAAAAAAAAAGTGATTAAAAAATAAAAGAACTGTCATGACTTAGAGTCTATGGGAGGGGGAGAAAGAGAGAGAAAGAGAGAGAGAGAGAGAGAGAGAGAGAGAGAGAGAGAGAGAGATTGAGATAGAGGAGGGATGGAGAGAAACAGATACTGATGATGTTCTCATGGCACAAGATTTGGGTAAGTGACAGAAAGGAAAGTCAGGGGTTATTTCTTCTATGGGCATTACCTTTTGTTGCTTCATCTATGAATGTGAAAAGACTTTGTCCACTGTGAACAGAATTAGCCCAGATGGCAAGGGCCTGCTGGAAAAAGGAATTGATTGATGTCACAGCTTTGAACAATCTGCTGTTTGGATGAGTACTTAAGGCATGCTACCACTCAGAACAGCGCTTGGATCGATTCCCTGGCTATTGTAAATCTGGACAGTAGAACATGTTAGTCATTTTTTAAGGAGGCCACAATTCCAAGGGACAAAAACTTTTCAGGAACAGTAACTCTAAAATACCACCCTTGGCTGTGTGTTGGGAAGAATTTACAAAGCTTAAATATTGAATCTGTCCACTTAACCACAGTGAATGTGGAGTCACCCAGTTTGTACAAGTCCTCTTACCAATCAGCCTCATGCAGGTTATTTCTAAGAAACTTGGTCTCCAATGGGCTACAAGAACAAAATACCTAATAAAGAAAGTAGTTTAAGAATAACAAATTCATTTCTCACAGTACTCGAGGGTAGGAAATCCATGGGACCAACAAGTTCAGTGTCGGCTGAGGACTTGTTTTTCTGGGTTGTAGATGGCCAGCCATCATTTTTGCTATAACCTCATTCAGAAGAAGGGACAAGAGTACTCTTTGGGACCTCTTTGTATAAGGAAATTGATCTTTTTGTTGTTGTTGTTGTTTTAATTATCTAATTAATTTTTCCTAGTCTGACATATTTTCCTCTCCCTCCCTCTCTCCTCTTCTGCCAGTCCCTCCCGTCAGTTCCCCACCCCATCCACTCCTACTTTCTTTTCAGAAAAGGACAGGCCTCCCATGGATATCAGCCAGCCATGGCATATTAAGTTGCAGTAAGACTAGTCACCTCCTCGCCTATTAAGGCCAGATGAGGCAACCCAGTAGGAGGAAAGGTTCCTATGGAAGAGGGGTAAGAAGGATTATGGGAGCCAGATAGACCAAGGGCACCACAAGAAAAAAACACAGAATCAACTAATCTGGGCTTGTAGGGACTCACAGAGACAACTGCCAGCCAGAGAGCTTATGTAGCTGGAGAGCTTTTCTCTCCAGGTCCCACCAAGTCCCGCCAGTCCTGGAGCCCACTTATAAAATAAACACACAGACACTTACATTATTTAAACTGCTTGGCCATTAGCTCAGGCCTATCATTGTCTAGCTCTTACTCTTATATTTAGCCCATTTCTATTAATCTATACTTTGCCACGAGGCTCGTGGCTTACTGGTACCTTACATCTTCCTTGTCCTGGTGGCGGCTCCAGACAGTCTCTCCTATTCTTCCTTCTTCCTCAATTCTCCTCTGTTAGTCCCGCCTATACTTCCTGTTTCGCTATTGGCCAATCAGTGTTTATTTACATATAGCGATATCCACAGCAGCTTGCATGGGACTAAACGAGTCCCCCTACACATAAGTTACAGTTGCTTAGCGTGGTCTTCCTGTGAGACTCCTAACAGTTGGAGCAGGGGTTGTCTCTGGCTCTGTTACCTACTTTAAGAGAATTAATCCTATTCAGTTAATCTTATTGACTTCACAATCTGCACATCTTCTAGTTGGCCCCACCCTAATACCATCATATTGGTGATTAGATATCAACCTTTGAATGTTTGTTTTTCACTCTTTGCTCTTTGGGGGCCCACTACTCAGCTTCCAAATCAATCACACATGGAGTCTTATTCTCACTTAGAAATGACTGGCCTTAGTTTGGCTTGTTTCTTGCCAGCTTTTCTTAACTTTAAATTATCCTATCTGTCTTTTTGACTCTGGGCTTTTACCTTCCTCTATTTTTGTATACTTTTCTTTCTTACTTCATTGCTGACCATGTAGCTGGGTGGCTGGCCCTGATGTCCTCCTCCTTCTCTCACTCCTAGATCTCTCTCATCCCAGATTTCTCCTTCTAGTAATTCTCTCTGTCTGCCAGCCCCATCTATCCTTTCTCCTGCCTTGCTATTGGCCATTCAGTTCTTTATTAGACTATCAGGTGTTTTAGACAGGCACAGTAACAAAGCTTCAAGGAGTTAAACAAATGCAACATAAACAAAAGTAATACACCTTAAAATAATATTCCACAACATTTGAATTTTGAGGGTTATATATTTTCAGACAAGAACAGTGTGAATCAGTGAATTTCATCCATTTTCCAATTTGCTTGGTTGGCTTGTACAGCATTGGCAGGGAAGGGGAAACTCTGAGTTGGTAGAAATATATTTTTCTGTTGCTATCTCAGACATTGCCACATTATCTATAACTCTGTGCTATTGCCCAGGATTTCAAAACATTCCTTAAGCCAAGATTTCAAGGCTCACTCATATATTGGAAATTATTAGTTCTGCAGTGTCCAAGCTGATTTTATCCTTGAAAAGAGAGGGGTAAACAGGATGGCTTAGAATGGAGAGAAAGGGAAGGCACA